AACTCCTGTTCCCTGGCTAAACTGCTGCTGTAAGAGGACTCAGAGAAAAGTCTGGTGATTGTTTCAGATTAGTCTGCAAGCTTCCTTTCAGCTTGTCCATCCTAGGATAGGAATGCTAAAGATCAGCAGGTTGGATTACTCCCCCTCTCAATCACCTGAAAGACTGCAGACAGCACACCTAAGTAATGAAATGGGGTGAGACAAGTCCTACCTGGAATGACCATGGCTGTGGTTTGTGGTGTGCCAGGAGCTCACAGCTATGGCTCTTGGTTATATGACAACCTGCTTTGTGAGACCAGTCTGAAGGGAGAGGAAGGCTGCTTTTTTTAGACCATCCTCTCCTGGTGGAAAAAACAAACGAAAAAACCCCAACTAACCACCAGACAAGCCTTGAAGCACGCAAGCCTTGTTTTCAGTACCTGCCCAAGTCTTTGTGTCATCACAGCTGGGACAGCACTACCAGACAAGTATTTGGGTGAGCTAAGAATAGCAGATTTCCTTGAGAAATGGTTTTGTTTATTTTGGTTTTTGTATTTTTAAATTGTTGGAGCCTTGGTGACCTTTTTCTTACATGTCCTAGAAGAATAGCCTGATCAGAGAGTATTGTTGTAATAAGGAGGGCAGTTGTGAACTGCCTTAATTCTCTGGCTTCTTCCTTGTGACCTGCAAGCTTTTAGTAGCAAAATGAGGAAAAAAAATCATGAAGTGGAGGTACCCCTGAACTTTGCTGCTATTGCTGCTGGACTGAAGGTAGAGAAGGCTAATGGGACATCTGCACTTGTACTGTTCCTAGGTTGCTGTTCTCTGTGGGTCCATTGTAACTTCAGTAAGGAGAAGGCACTCTGCTAAAGGGAGTATATAAAGAATGGATCTTTATTAAAAGGATGAAGCACAAGTTTCTGTTCAAAATTATTTCTAAGTTATTGCTAGGATAGCTCTGGTGTGAAGGCCTGTGGAAAGCTGGGAAGGCCTCTGTGCAGATGAAAGGAGTTGCTGGATGTTCCGTCCCTGGAAGTGTTGAAGGGCAGGGTGGATGGGACTTGGAGCAACCTGGTCTGGTGGGAGGTGTCCCTGCCCATGCAGGGGGGTTGGAACTGGATGATCTTGAAGGTCCCTTCCGACCCAAACTAGTCTGTGGTTCTATGAGTTCCCTGGAAGCAGTCAGTGGGCTGGGTGCACAGTTTAAGATCAGCAGAGATGGGATGGGGAGTTTGTAGGATTGAAGGGTTGGAGGATACAAAAGGATGGAAGGGTACAAATACCAGGAATGGAAACCCATGATTCTGGGTTGGTAGAATGATGCCTATCTTAGAAAATATTTTTTTTGCAAAGATTTGCCTGCTAGGAAACAGCAGTTGAGCTCAGGGTTTGTTTTTATTGGAGGGAGGGTATGTTTAAGGATTTTTTTAAGGTATTTTTTGAATGAAGGAAACTGACAGTAGTGGGAAGGAAAGAAGGGAGGGTAGTGGCACCTAGGGAGGCAAGGACAGCAGCTTTGAAGACTGTGGAAAGGGAGCAGGTCTGGAAGAAGAAGTGAATAAGATATCATGAGTGAGACATTTCAATGCACAAGAGGTAGGAGGATTAAAGCTATTTTTCTAAGACAGAAGGAAGATATGAATTTATATTTTTGTTTTAAATGTTTTCCTGTGGATGGCTGGTGCCTGTCAGCCAACTCACAGGAAAGCTATAAGCAAGACAAAGCAGGGGGAATTTTACTGTTTGTCAAGCTGTGATTTAGATGGACACAAAGTAAAATTACAGCCTTGGAGAGATTCACAGTGCCACAACTCCCACACTTCTTACCCTGTGATTTAAAAAAAAAAAAAAAAAAAAGGAAAAAAAGGAAAAAAGAAACAACCCTTTTTGGCAATGAAGGAAAAGTCAAAAGCCAAACTGTCTTTGTGTCAGAAGACCTCGTAATACGCACTTGCTCAAGCCCTGGCTGGTGGCTTGGCAAGTACTGAAGGTAGAGCATTGCACATAATTGACTGTGTTTTCTGTGCTTGTCTTACTTATGAGCCTAACAGAGTGTATAATTGATACTGAAATAATGTCTAGTGGGGGTTCATATATTTATATTGTCTGTTCACTTCACAATGGAGTGTGTATCCTCATTGGAAAGCCTGAGCTCTTGCTAAATTTTAATTGCCTTTGCCTGCCAATCACACAGTAAAGGTTGTGGGCTAATTAAGGGTGGTTTCTAAATCAGGATTCTGTACACACAAAAGACCCTGTTATTTTCTCATCTGTCTAGACAGGTCACCTAATCCAGCATTAAAATGCCGAAAACAGGAGGGGAAAACATTTTCTTGAAACCTTCATGTGAAGGATTTCCATGGGTTTGCCAAAGCCAGGATTAGGGAAGCTGCACTTAAAGAACTGAGCTGAACTGGTTTGATTTCCATGGGATGTAGATAGCAGGAAAGGTGTTAGTTTACCGTGGCAATTAAAATGCACGGATCCAAGTGTTATCTGGAGACTGGATGGGAAGTGGAGAGTGTTGTAGAATGTCTGTGGGTTGTAGTAAATCCTGAAGACATGTCTAGTATGAGTTATTTCAGCTAGGATTTTGTAATAGGTCATGAATGAGTAAGGATGAGCCAGATTAAAATTTATTTCCTTAAAGAAGAGAAAACTAGGATCATCTATGAAGGCCCTTAGCACAGAGGAGGACATGAACATGAAAGGATTGTTTGATGTTTCTAATAACATTGTTTTGGGGGATGTTCCCCAGTTTTCAGTGGATAGTGGTTTTGAAACTACCAAAGGACATTAATATTTGCATAAGGTTAGTAGACCATTGAGGAGTGGTCTTGTGTTTCATATCAGCTTCTGACTGGTGAGGGTTTAACCTACACATGATGGGCCAGTTCCCAGCTAAGTCCCAAGGAAGGCCCTCTGTGCCTGGAGTGTCATGTCCCTGTTTATTTTAAGCCATTCTGAAAATCCACCCCTAGAGTGGATTAAGATAGAAAAGAACAAAACACTCCTGCCCCGGGTGAGGAAAGTCCACAGGAGGAATGAATTAGCATCAAAGCCAGGAAGAGACAAGTCCTGAAGTGTCTGCAACTGAAAACTTGACCCATCTCACCAGCAGCTGTAGGGAAGGAGCTCTGCATCCTCTACCCCCTTGCCTTCTCCAGGTTTTTACTGTGTCCTGTGGAAGAAATTGTTCACTGTTGCTTCTTCAAACTTTTGTACTGCTTTTGAATCCAACTTGCTCAAAAGGAAGTCCAGTGCCTGGTTTTGGCTGCTCACAGCTTTTCCACTTGTCAAATGACCATGAATCATGACTCTAGAAAGCATCAGATGCTTGACTGTGCTTGACTTCAGCTTGGAAATAACTCTGTGAACACCAGTGCCTGGCTCCTTCTGACAGATATCTGCTAGCTCAGATCTGTTGGTCAGGAGATGAAAACAGGGAGATGATTGATGTAATTGCAGGTAGAAGTTCTTAGCAGGGCTGGACCCAGGGCTGGCTCAATGTCATCAGTTTGTTGCTCCGTGGCAGTTGGGACAAAGCTGTACTGGCAGGAACAGAGTTTGTGACAGACACTGTGTACCTCTCACTTGCAGATGAGCCCAAATAGGGTGGATTGAGCTGAATTCCACTGCTTAGATCACTACTGGCTGCAGGTTGGTGTCACCTCTGTTACAGAGTGCCAGTGTTGCTTTGTACCTTGTTAATACATATGGTCGTACACTGCAATAGTCTAGCAGTGTCTTCAGTGCAAAGGTTTGACTCTTCTGAGAGAAACAAGAGTCTTTGACACTGGCCAAGTGTTGGGAATGTTGGGGAAGAGCTCAGAAGGAGTATCCAGCAGCTTGCTAACGGGTAGGGGCATCAGTACCAGTTCCTTGGATTTCTACCAAAGCATTGGGTGGGACAATAGGCAGGGAATCGTGTGGGCTTTATCCAATTCACTGAACACCAGCTGATCCAAGGGCTGATGAATCCTGGGTTGTGTGTTCATTCTTTGCAAGTCAGGACTGCTGTCTTCTTGGGCCTGATGGAGCATGGGTCTCTGTACCCTGCTCCTTTATGCTTTTGAGTGCAGGTGTGAACCTGTCCAGAACCAGATGACTAGACACTGACGTGTGTGTATAGGGACGTGCTACTTTGGTCGTCCCTCATTAAAGTTTAACCTTAACCTCAGGCTGTGGACTCAGGCTGTGTACTAAAATGTGATGATAGGACCTGAGAGCTAAGGGTAAACACAGTTAAAAAGATGGAGTTTGAAAAATACTGCTCAGAGGAGCCGTTGGGTGCCTTGGGTAGGTGGAGGTAGAACTGGACTAGTTAGGACTGGTCTGGGCTTGGATTTCTCTTCATCAAAGACTGAGGCTGGTCCTGATGTGGCAAGGACAGTGTTGGCTGTTTCATGTGGCTCTGCATTTTTCAGCTGGCCCTTCTTGACTTTCATCAGTTGAAACATTTTTCTGTCTGTACCATTTCTGTAATGATTGGTTTGATACCTGATCTCCATGCTTGGAGCTAAATCCTCTTTATCTAGCCCTGTAGTTGTATGATCTGAACCTTGTGCTTTGTGGTTGCCACAGGAGCAAAGTGAAGCTTCATCACTGTGTTGTGGACTTGGTTGGCACTGGGCATGTGGTTTTATTTTTCTTGGTTTTTGTTTTTTTTTTTGTTGGTGAAGTCTTTACCACAAAATTGCCCCTTTTGGAGGTTAAATAAAGAGATGGGAGTTTGTAAATCGTCGGACTCCTGGAAATAGTCTACATGGTACAAGAGGGTGGAGATTTTTGGATTCGTTTCCAGTACTCTTGCTCCAGGCCAGAAAGCTGTTGCATCCCAATTTGACCTCAGTTATCCTTCCCATGCATCTCATTTTGAAAGGCTGGGTCTCTGTACACGTTTTCCTTCTTTTTCTGCTGAGCCTTTCAGTTGGTTTGTTTTTTTAGCCTCCCTTAGGATTTTTACCTCCAGAGGAATAAGCCGAGTCCCCCTGAAAGCGCTTTGTTTTCTTCTTCCTTAGGTTCCTTAGAAAGAGAGCTTGGACGGCATGCAAAGTTGTGAAATATCTGCAGACAGCACGGATGATCCTCTCAGTAGTGGCCTACGGAGAAAGCGACAGCCTCGAATAGTCATCGTCGGTGCTGGGCTCGCGGGCCTGTCGGCAGCCAAAGCGCTCTTGGAAAGCGGCTTCACGGATGTAACGATCCTCGAGGCGACCGACCGAATCGGAGGCCGCGTGCAAAGTGTGAAACTTGGTAAGGGCAGCATCCTGGGGAGGAAGATCAGGTTCTTTCTTTTTGTCCTGCTTAACGAGGCTTTGGGTTGTCGTTAGGTTCGTTTGGCCTTGGAAACGGGCTCTTTCGGTCAAGGTGTAGGTGGGAAAGGTTACTTGAGGTGTGGTGGTGTTGGGAGTATTGAGCCTTGGGCTCTTTTTGGGGTGGGTGGGTGAGTCTGAGCTATCTTGTCATGGGGTAATGGATGAAAACTTGAAGAGGAGAGATTTAGGTTAGACATTGGGAGGGAATTCTTCACTATGAGGGTGGTGAGACCCTGGCCCAGGTTGCCCAGAGAAGCTGTGGCTGCCCCATCCCTGGCAGTGTTGAAGGGCAGGTTGGATGGGGCTTGGAGCAACTTGGGCTGGTGGGAGGTGTCCCTGCTCATGCAGGGGGGTTGGGACTGGATGATCTTGAAGGTCCCTTCCAACCCAAACGATTCTGTGATTCTATGATTTTCCAAGGGAGGGCAGCTCCAAAACCATGTTTCTGTAAAATAAAGACCTTGGTGATTGTTTTCATTCATACGGGAAGAGTTTTGTGTAAAAGGTCTGTGGGAAGTGTTCTGTGGTTAAATAGCTGTATTGAGGCAGTTTCCACCAACGTTCTCAAGCTCAACTCTAGTCTAGGAACAGTCAGTAAAACTCCTGGCTAGTGAAGGGCTGTTTCTCAGTGATCTACATGGCTTGCAAAGGGGCAAGCTCCAAGCTATTCTGTTTCACAAATAGCCCCATTCATTTCCCTAGAACTAATTGACTGTGTAGGGCACTACCCACTGTGAATCAGGCTGCTGGAAAAACCTCTTCAGTGTATCCATTCATCCTGATCTGCAGCTTTCCCACCTCTGTGGCTTCCTTTCTCAGTGTGTAATAAAGATGCAGATGCTGTATATTTTAATCCTGTGTCCATTGGCAGGACTTGTAGAATCTCTTAATGCAAAACTACTGGAACAAACGTTGCCCTTTGCAGCACAGTAATCAGCAAAACTTTCCCTGGTATCTAGAAGGGCATTGCCTGTTCCTTCTCTGCAGGAGGCAAAAAGCTCTTCACGTTTAATTAATTGCCCTCCTGATTTCAATGAACTAGCTCTGTTTCTGATCCCACTCTCTATTTATTAACTTTGGCCTCTTGCTGCCCTCCTTTCTTTTTATTTGCCAGGTGCTTACCTCACTTACTGTATTTTACTCGATAAACTCACTGCAGTAAATAAACAGCAGTGTCCTATGAACTTCCAGAAGGGAAATGAATGAAAAGGACAAATTGAAACTCCAGGGTTTGACTTAGGGCACTTTACATTCTGCTGAGGCTTGGCATGGAGGTTAGAATGGGAAACGTGTCCTTTACTCACAATACACTGTATTAAAAATATCCTGGGTCATGTCTGTGAAAAGAGGGAAGTGTTGAAGACATGAAATCTTCAGGAAGCAATGCATCATTTTGTCAGTGCACCTGTGGAAGAGTTTTGTTCTACTAGTATAGAGACCAATTCTCTCACTTTTGGACACCTTTACTGGTTACTCATCTCTTTGCTGGGAAGGTACCTCCTGTTCCTTGCCATGTCTTAACTAATGAGACAAGAGCAGGCTTTTTGCTCTGCTGGAGATCTTGCAGTGTAGGTGCCACTTGTTTGCAGAGTAGAAGACCGAAATCCAAAGTCTTGATCTTTTGATGCCTTTCTTAAAAAAAAGTCTGTCCTTTCTTAACTTCTTCAAACTATCAAAGTTATACAGCATGGTGAGGGACTGCAGTTCTCTCCCAAGGTGGGTCCACATTTTGGCCCCTTTGTGCACTTTGCAGATTCACTTGCCCTTTTGCCCAAGCAATTTTGGAGCCCTGTTGGGGTGTGAAATGTTCAGAAGCAGCCTGTGCTTGGAACCTCCTTATTCCCTGGTATGAGGGCAGAAGGCCAGCATGGTCCTGGGCTGTGTTTCCTTCTTCTGTACTGCCTGGAGCAGCAAGGTTACACCTGGGGCATGGAAGACCTGCTCATGTCTCAGAACTGGCTAAAGCTCACAAACGAAACTTACAGAAGTGGTTCTTCTGAGTCTTCAACATACGACTGCTTTGATCTGCTTGTCTAAATGGCATTTAAATGTTGAGCTTCTCTGACCTCTCCCTCATCTGCACGCTTGACTACAAGTTCAGTCTTCAGCAGATCTATGGTGGCACCCTCACAGGTCATATCCTGATACTTCCACTCTCACTGAGCCATGCAGTGCCTTGCAGGGGACACTGTTTTCTCTCAGCTGCACAGAAAATATATTGCTGTTCAGCACAGGGAAATAATTTGGATTTTCAGAGGTTTGCTTGATCATCTCTAGCCCAGGGGAGGCAGAGGCTTTGTGTTGTTTGTGCATTTTAAGTGTGTTTCTTGTATGTGTTCTAGAACATCTGTAGCCACTGCAGATCCATCACGACAGGATGCCCAAGAAGTAGGCAGGGCTGCAAGGGGAAATGGGGAAGTTCCTGTGCGTATTCAGAAGGCTTGATATGGAATCTCTGCATTCCTTTGGAAAATTGCTGGTATGGAATTGTTGTCTGTGGGCCTGTTTTGACTGCTGCTTGTGTCTCAGTACTTAGGGCCACAGAATAGGAAACAGATTTTTTTTTTTTTTTTCTATTTTTGATGTATTGAATTATTTACTTCAAGGCGATTAGTGTTGGAATGAAAATCTTTAAGGCCCTGAAGGTAAATTAGCTACTTCTGTTTTAAGAGCTGTTATTTAATGTTACAGTTTAAAATAATGTATCATATCACTTACACTAGGTAACAACATATTTGCTTGGGAGTGATGAGAATGAGTTTCTAAGTATTACAGGCAAGAAAGCCTATTTTGAATTTATTGGTATTTACAGGATCACAGAATCACAGAATGGTGGGGGTTGGAAGGGACCTCTGGGGATCATCTAGTCCAAACCCCCTGCTAGAGCAGCATCCCGTAGAGCAGATCCCACAGGAACACATCCAGGCAGGTTGGGAATGTCTCCAGGGATGGAGACTCCACAACCTTCCTGGGCAGCCTGTTCCAGGGCTCTGTTACTCTCAGAGTAAAGAAGGAATTTCTTATATTCAGGTTAAACCTCCTGTGCTCCAGTTTGTGCTCATTGCCCCTTTGATTACATTCCACACAGCTACCAAAACAGGAGAACTTGGAGCGTATCTTAATTGTTACTGAGCACCTGTACAGCAGGACCTGCTGGCATGCATTTTTTTCTTTCAAAGATGAGGTGCTCCATAAATAAGGGCTATACAGAGGGGGAATGCTAGTGAAGCAGAGAGCGAGCTCCTGACAGGAAGCAGCAGGCACTATTCCTGCTGCTTATCTGGCATGTGATGACTCGCAGGAGGATTGCATTCACAAGGTGACTGCCACATGCAATATTGATGAGCTTGGTACCTCTGGCTGCCAACTTCAGCAGTCATTTCCTCTGGGCTGGCTGCTCTGGGAGAGCAAAGGAGCTTGTGGCACCTTGAATATTCACAGGGTTGGAACTCCGCTGGCACTTGGAAGCATGTGCTTTGTTTTTAGCAGACATGGGAATTGTGCTCTTAAGTGCTGTAAGATGTATTTTGAAGGTTAATCAGCAGACTGCCTAATGATCAGGTGGTTGAAAAACAAGGTATGTGAAGCCTCCCTTGGAGGCAGCATCTCTTGGAGCTTCCACCCATTAAACCTGACTGCATCAGAGAAACGTGCTGCAGTGTCTTGCTGTCTGAGCATATATTTACATGTTAAGCAGTATGTGATGACTGGGAACTGCACAATCCTTTCCTCATCAGGCAGGATCCTATTAACTGACCCACTTAATCAGACATCACACACCTCTAGAGAGCAAGCTGCACAGTGTGGTGTTGGCAGGGATGCTGGGAGAGCACTGCTTTGTCAGGCTTTAAAACAGTTAGCTTTGGACTTCTTGAGGATCTGCAAAGATGTGGGTGGAGGACCTGACCCAAGCTTATTTTTAGCACCTTCTTTTCAGCTGCTGAACATCTCCCTGTGCTGTCAGCCCAGCTGTGTCTGTGTGGGCTTTTGGGGGGGTCAGAGTCCTGGTGCAAACCATCTTAGTTATAAGGAAGGGAGAAATTGGGGCTGGCCAAACTCTGTGTTTTGCAGGCAGAGAGTATAGGTGATGAAGACTAAATGTGTTTGGTGTTTAACTTGACAGTGCATCTTTTTAAAGAACCTGTTTTAAATGTTCAAAGGCATAAATAATAAAATATAATGTATATACTCATTTGGGGAGTGAAAATGCATTTTTATGCTGCATTTAATTTGTTATATTTGTAAATAACATGAATTTTTACTCACAGGGCAAGGCTAAGTATGCAGGCCGATGTTGCTATCTCAGGATAAACCAAGTTTTTCTGCACCTCCCCCCTGTAGGTGCTTTTCTTCCTGTGTCTGGGTATCCATCCTCTGCCCTTGAATACAGTGGATGTTTCATAGAATTACAAACTGGTTTGGGTTGGAAGGGACCTTCAAGATCATCCAGTTCCAACGCCCGTGCATGGGCAGGGACACCTCCCACCAGCCCAGGCTGCTCCAAGCCCCATCCAACCTGCCCTTCAACACTGCCAGGGATGGGGCAGCCACAGCTTCTCTGGGCAGCCTGTTCCAGTGTCTCACCACCCTCACAGGAGAGGATTTCTTCCTAATGTCCAACCTAAATCTCCCCTCTTTTAAAGTCTTTAGGTACTCTATTCATTTCCTAAATCTATAGTATTAATGTAAGTGTCCCTATAGATCTTTGTACAGTAGTGCAGTGTGGCTTCTTACAGCTCTTTTCCTTCCCACACTCCCTTTAGCTTTTGAAAATCTTTCAGGATTAGAGGTTTACATGGTTTGTGCTGCAGCAGGAGCAGTACATCCTCTGCTGTCTGATCATGTTCCTACGTGCAGGTTTAGAGCAGATGATTTAGAAAGGCCAGGTAGAAAGGATAGAGCAGGTAGCAACAATGATGGTAAGAACTGGGAACCTAGAATGTTCTGAATTTCGCCTGAAGTATCAGAGGTGTGTCACTGTGATGTATCTTTATTGGAAACATCCCATCCTTCCAGAACTGTCTAAACTTGTATCCTGAAGGACTGGCATCGTGCTTGTCTAACAGAGAAAGCTCCCTTGAGTGATGTTCAAACACGTGTTGTCCTTGGGCAGTTGTTCTCCTTTTGCTCATGTACATTTTATTTAGGGCTGAGTGTGACAAGCTTTCAGGAAAATGGGCTTCAATAACTACTTGGCTTGGTTGACTCTCCTGCAGGGCACGCCACTTTTGAACTGGGAGCTACGTGGATTCATGGTTCACATGGAAACCCAGTCTATCATCTAGCAGAAGACAATGGTTTACTTGAAGAGACAACAGACGGCGAGAGAAGTGTCGGACGGATCAGTCTTTACTCCAAGAATGGGGTGGCTTATCATCTTACCAACAATGGGCAAAGGATCCCGAAAGATGTGGTTGAAGAATTCAGTGATTTATACAACGAGGTTGGTATTCAGCTGCTTTGTCAGGTTGTAGGTTTGCCTGAAACAGTGAGACCCCTTGACAGTTACCGTGTCCCGGGTAGAAAACCAGTTACGTCTTTAGTTTCCTTGCAAAAAATCAACATCAAGTTTGCTCTCATCTGCTTAACTCTGCCCCATTTGTCCCTGATGTGGGATTAACTCACTGTTGTTAGGAAGAACAATCTTTCACATTTTTTCCACATTTGTTATCAATTTAATCACTTCCAGCAACTCTTACTGGGGAGATCCAGTCATTTGCTCTATAAATTTGCTACTTAATTGGAAGAGTAGAGGAGGGATCAAATTGCTGAACAAAGCAGAACACAAAACCTTAGCAACCACTAGCTAAATATTGTAGCCTTGTGACATTTTATTGATGTTATAAATGCCATAGTGTGCTGTGTCATATGCCAAAGTGCCAGGGTTGTAGGAATGGCAAGTTTTCTTGCATGAGCAGGTAAGGAACATCTTTTCTGGCAGATTCAGACCAGTGTGGATTTCGGTTTCAGGTTATTTTAACTTCTTTTGATCGATGTTCAGTGGCGTCCTCTTCAGGTCAGTATAGGTGAGGGCCTTGGTACGTGAATAGGAAAGATACCCCAATCAACCAACTACAGAGAAAGAGCTTAAAAATACTAAGAAGCCTGCAAGATGTTTAGTGGAAAGATATGATTCCATGTTTAGTGGAAAGATGAACCTCTGCTGAAAAAGCAACGAGGCAACGTCAGACAAAAAAAGGCCAAATTTACCTGGATGTAACTTGGCACTGCTGCTGTCATCCTAGTAGTTCTTTCAGAGGGAAAAGGAGGTTTCTTACTGATTTGTGTGTTGAAATGGTATTAGTTATGTCTGCTTTCAGTAGGAAGGTCTGCCATAGGTAGAGTGGAGTGAAAGAAGGCAGCTTGCCAGAGTTAATGATGGTTATTCCCTGCTGTATTTTAGTGTCATTTCTAAAGTACATTAGAGGGGATTTAGAGGGGATCAATGGAGAATGTCCAGTCCTCCAGGTAGTGTGATCTCTCAGTGGATTGTATAAAATAGAGCAAAACAGTATTGTTTTCATCAGACTGTAGCAATAACTAAAACCTTCAGATTTTCATTTGGCAGTGACCTTCACCGGTATTTGATGCTTGGCTAAACACACACTAAGTTCAGGTTAGTCTTGCATGCTTCATGCTTAAAAATATGTCCATGAGCTTTTAGAAAGCCACCAAGAGAAATGTCACTGAAGAATTATCAATAATTGACTGGGGAGCAGAAATGGGGGTTATTTTTTTTTGTTTGAAAAGACTTTTGACACTGCCTCTGATTTGGCATCTGTGATGGGTTAGCACAGGTTGCTCCTGGGAAGATTCCAATTGGACACAAGAGGTAAATTTTACACCATGAGGACAGTCAAACATTGGAATAGTCTCCAAAGGGGGGAAATGGTAGATCCCCCCACATTGGACAGTGTTAAGTCTCAGCTTGACACAGGGGGCTGAGCCATCTCATATCAACTAGAGTAGTACCTAGAAAGGTTGGACCAGATGATCCTTGAGGTCCCTGCCAACCTGGCATTCCAGAGGGCTAGTAAGAATTTCAAAGAAACCCTGTTATGGAAGAAACTTAGCAACCCATGGCAAGGAGGAGATTCTTCTTGGACAAACACAGGTGGAGAGAATTCATCTGAACAAATTTTTCATATTACTGGATTGAAAACAGAGCCAGAGCCAGTCAGGAAAAAACCAAAACACAAAAGACAGGTGAGATGTGCGTGGGGCAAGATTAACAGCAACTAAGACTAGAAAAGAGAGAGGGAGCAAGTGAAAATGCTGCTGTGAGCAGCGTTATTGATGTGAATGGCACAGTGCCAGCCTGCATGCAGGGCTTGGTGATCAGCCTGTCTCAAAGATGACAGGAAAATCTCCAGCAAAGGGAGGGTGTCAGAGGCAGGGGGACTCTGAAATGAGAATACAAAGATGAGAGCTGCTTAACTTTGAGATACAGCCAATAAGACAAAGGCTGTAACAAGGTGTGGGTGTTTCAGAAAGGATTAATTTGGTAAACATACCCATTTAATTTATTTATTTTTTTTTTAAGCCAGGGAAAAGGGGGCAGCCAGTGACATGAGAAAACAACACATTAAAAGTTAATCTTCTTTATGCAACACATAATTAGCTTATTGTTGCCACAGGATATCTTTATCACTAGGAGACAGAAAAGGCTTTCACATTTCTGGGTTGTAAAAATGTCTACAGCTACTTTCTGAGATTAAAAAAAATATGTAAGGGGCAGCTTAAGCCAAGAAGAGGACAGGAGCCAAGCTCCTGATTGCTGTTGCTGGGGAGGTGCTTTCTCTGTCTCCCTTCAGACTGTGGTGGAATTTCTTGCAGGGGCAGCTCATGGTTTTGTTGAGCTTCTTGCCTCAGCCTCTTTGGGATGTCAGAGGGAGTGATCTTTAGAGATTGAAGACAGCTGACTGTGTTTTCTTCCTGCTCTGTGTAGGAAAAGTGGGAATTAAGGCAAGCTACATGATCTCCTGAAAATCCCCTCTTAAAATAAGACTGTATGAAATAGAAGTGCCCCAGTGGGGGAGAAGTTTTGAGCGTGGGCAGCTGATGTGTGGCTTTGGGAACCTTCTCTGGCATCCAGTGCAGGGAATATTTCTGTTTGCACATGCTGAGTCTGTCTGCTGCATTTCTGGTTTGTGTTGTTGAGTCCCTGACTCACCCAGCAGTATTTTTGCAGTTTCAGTGGAATCCATTCTGTCAGTTTCTTTTCATCCTAGCTGGCCAATACTCTCTTGCTTTAACTGGTGATGAAGTGGACACTGGGGAGGAACAGCAGAAATTTGGTCTTCAGTTCTGCATCTCTGCTCTTTTGAAGTCAGGTTTTTTGAGAGGCTTTGTTAAAATGTCTTGAAATTGTTCAGGATAAGAAGCCATCTTACAGCTCACCCTGAGGTCAGGCTCCTCCCTTGCCTCATAGGAGTTCCAAGACCCTTCTCAGGGTCTAGGAATCATAGAATAGTTTGTGTTGGAAGGGACCTTCAAGATCATCTAGATCCAACCTGCTGCATGGGCAGGGACACCTCCCACCAGACTAGGTTGCTCCAAGCCCCATCCAACCTGCCCTTGAACACTTCCAGGGATGGGGCAGCCACAGCTTCCCTGGGCAACCTGGGCCAGGGTCTTGCCACCCTCATAGTGAAAACCTTCTTGCTGATGTCTAACCTGAATCTCCCCTCTTGCAGTTTTAATCCATTACCCCTTGTCCTCTCCCTACCCTTGTCCAAGTTCCTCCCCAGCTTTTCTGTAGACCCTCCAGGCACTGGAAGGTGCTCTAAGGTCTCCCTAGAAACCTCACAGGAGCAGCATCTTGGCTGCATCTCGCCCTTTAGCAGAGGCTGAGCTAGCAAAGACTGTAACACACGCTGCCTTGACTGGAGAAAAACAACCATCAACCACATGATGGATGCAAAGCCTAATCAGGAGCACTGGCATCAAGAGTGGAAAATGTACTCCTGAATGAACAGGGCTAAATTTGTCTCAGTTTCACATGCCTGCCCCCCTGCACAGCCGGCTCCCTTCCCATGCACTCACACACTGCCCTTCTTTTGCTGCAGCTGCTGCCATGTGCTTAGGCCAGAGCATTTGACTTCAGCTCTTCTTCTCCATCTGTGTCTCTGCAGCCCAAATTCCCCTGGCATCTGGACACCCAATCCTAGGGAATGTCAAGTGCAGAGAGTCTCCCTCGAGTGTTTTGCATGGGTGTGTGGAGCCACTGAAGCTGGAGCCTGGCAAGGCAAGGCCTCTCCTCTGTGTGCTGGAATTTTACTGGTGTGGAAGGCAAGGCACCCCAGTACATCCAGAGCTTTGCCTCACTAGTTAATTTGGAAAGTCCTTACCCTTTTTCCAGGCACTTATCCAATCTTTTTTGGCTGGCTTCTTCTACTTCAGTACAAGTTTTGCTTCTTTTTGTTTGCAGTAGCCTGAATTTTTAATAGCTGTAGGGATGCCTCACAGAAGCCTTTATTTGGCTACTAGGAAGCCAAGCAGCAAGACTGCTCAGCTCTTCATTTCTGTAGCGGAAAGTTCCCTGTGAGAGGCTCTCCTAACTGAGACAACTGCATTGAAGTCAGGCAGGATCTGTCACGAGCTGGTGACCGAGGTGACCCAAACCCTCCTTGCAAACTAAGCCCTGCTAGCAAGGAGTGTCTCCAGTCCTGCTGAGCAGCTGCCTCCATTTCCAACCACACATTACCAAGCAATGCACCATGAGAAAGGGCATCAAGCCTGCTGTGGGCAAGACAGCTCTCCAGCCACTGTTGTTTTGAAGCTATCCTTTTTATAACATGTACTATGTGGGGCTGGCACTGCTCAGGGTCATCATCAGTCCATTAGGTCAGTCTCTCAGAGTAAGGGGACACCAGCTCTGGAAGGTTCCCCAGGGTGTGGTGTTCATGCCACATGTTCATAAACTTCTCACCATCCTCTCCACTCCTAGGATAACTGGGGGGGATTTGTCCTCTGCCTGTTTATACCACATCTGCATGACCTTCCAAGAAAAGGGACAGGAGTGTCACCTTTGAGGATAATGTGTGCAGCTTGAGTGTCTTTGTGAGTGTGTAACTGCTGGGAAAATGTGAGTAGGGACAATCTATCTCAGAGTTGCTCTTAAATCCTCATTTCTCTCACCACAGAGGTATTTAAGGCCAACTCAGGTATTTGTGAAGGGTGGGAGGGAGGTGGTGAGCGTGACAAGTTAAATGCAGGTGAAAAATCCCACTGCTTTGACTGCCCCAGAATTTCACAGTACCTTGCCAGCGTGATTTAGAAAACGTGCCTATTTTTAGTCAAGCTTTTCAGGGAGGATATGGTCCCTAAAGACCTGCTTCACAGGAACCCTCCCTTTAACAATCAGCTAATTAATGGCCCTGTTATCTGTCAGCTTTCTCCTGTGTGCTGTGCAGCTTCAATGTGTTTTTCCTCCCTGCCTGGCAGACCTGTCTGTGCAGTTAAGGGCTAACAGCCTGGAGCTCACTTAGGATATATGTGGCTGGTGGTTTGGGGTTTTTCCCCCAAGATAAAGTGCTGCAAAAGGCATTTATGACTCAATTCCTAGCTCAGCCACCTTGTCACACACTTCCTGTTAGCTTAGAAGCTGCAGGCAAAGCAAACAGGCTGGGTGAGATGGGGAGGTGGAGCTGAGGTGACTTAAGCCCCAGCAAACTGCCCCAAAACCAGGAAAAGACAATGCTAGGGATCGTCACCGGTGCTGGCAGGAAGGAGCATGGATTGGGATGTGCTTTCCTGATCTCTTTCAGTGCTGAAAAACTTCTTTATTTAGATTTGTTCTTCCTAAGAGACTGCCTCTTCCTGTGGTGGAGGAGCACGTATGTAGTAAACACGTGTAGGTGGAAGGTAACCTGGAGGTAACAGGGAGGACATCCCTGGTGGAGCCCACGTTGTCTGCAGACACCCTGGTTGTGGGATGCCCCGAAACTGGTCAGAAGGAAGACAGATCTAAGCTGAAGTAAAGACGTGTTAGTATTATGACCGTTCAGTTAACTCTTAATTTCTGACCTTCAGTCCCATTTCCCCACAGAACTGTAAGTAAACCCTCAGAGTTAGGGATGGAGATCCACACAGGATGAATAGTCACTTGAGATCTTCTCATCTTTTGCTTCTGCTGGTGGTTCTTGCAGACAGGCTTCTAGGACCAGTTATTCTGCCCAAACCCAGAGGAAGCATAGAATCCCAGACTGGTTTGGATTGGAAGGGATCTTCAAGATCATCTAGTTCCAACCCCCTGCATGGGCAGGGACACCTCCCACCAGACCAGGTTGCTCCAAGCCCCATCCACCCTGCCCTTCAACACTTCCAGGGATGGAACATCCAGTGATTCCTTTCATCTGAGCAGAGGAGCCTCCCCAGCTTTCCACAGGCCTTCACACCAGAGCTATCCTAGCAATAACTTAGGAATAATTTTGAACAGAAACTTGTGCTTCATCCTTTCTGCATATATAACTTCCCTGGGCAACCTGTGAACTTTATAGTGAGAAGTGCTGAGATCATTGTCCTGGGATGTGAATTTGCCAGTGGAAGAAGCTGGGAGTTGATGCAGCCTATGCATATTTTTTCTTCCTGCTTGTATCAGGTTTGTGACATTAGAAAAGGGAGATCAGTCTGGACTGTAGATGTTGTGGCTCTCCTTGCAGATGGACACGGTGCTCTCAGTTTAGATGCATGAATATTTTGTAGAAGATAATCAGAATCTTTCAGGTGGTTCTTGATGCTACCTTTCACCAGGCTCTTTGAGTTAAAGCCCACCTGAACCCTTCCTGGAACCCTTCTGTCATCACATCATGATGAAATGATTGAAGAAGAACGTGTTTTCAGATCTCACACATCCCTATTCCCAGTGATTTCAGAGGTGGTTCCATAGGCATGATGATACTTCCTGATACTGTAATCAGTTTCCCACCTGGGGAAACAAAGGCCAGGTAACTCCAACTCCAGACAACACAACTCTGCTTGTTCTTCATTAGAAAACTGCTGTAAATGGGCTTTGTAGTGAGCCTCTTCTATAACTTTTTAAACGTGATTTGTTTGCTGCATGTGCATATTAAAGAACTGGTGATAGAACAAGAGGAAATGGCCTCAAGCTGCTCCAGGGGAGGTTTAGACGAGACATTAGGAAGAACTTTTTCACTGAAAGGGTTGTCATACATTGCAATATGCTGCCCAGGGAGGTGGTTGGGTCACCATCCCTGGATGTGTTTAAAAGGTGTGGTGCTTGGGGACATTGCTCAGGGTTAATTGTTGGACTGGATGATCTTAAAAGTCTTTTCCAGCCTAAATGGTTCTGTGATTCTGTGAAAGAACACATTTCCAGCATCTTTTTGATTCTTTTATTATGACAATGTATCTCTGAAGGTAGGACTTGCTGTTGTTTCTCCCCTTGCCTACAACAGCTTTGCCTTCTGTTCTTCATCAAATGGTTCAGCACCTCCAGGAAGAGAAAAGCAAAGAAGTAACAGGGATCCTGAGAAAAAAGATAAATCCTGGTGGTGATGATACTTCCCTGCTGTCTGCTTGATGGGATGACATATATAGGAAAGACTTCATTTGATATTTACAGCACAGAGAACTGTCCATTTCTCTCTTTTCTCTCTTGGGCAATAAAGAATACAATGGTTAATAAAAACATACCCATGGCTCCCTTATCCTTTTTGGCCAAATGGTAGCTGGGTTTTAGCACAGCTTTGCTTGTCTTGTGCATGTGTTATCTGCTTATGGTGTGCAATCAGCTTAGGGAAGCTGAGCTGCATTATGCTGACGCAAGGTCTCTGCAGCTTGGGCTTGCTGGAAATGGTTTGGGCCTCAGAAATCAGTGGGTCTGAGAACTGTGGGATGTTGAAGCTGCTAAAGAGCTTTTGCTGCTGGGGAACAGAGAAGACATTATTTCTTTTCCTTTGCTGGAAGCCTTCATGCTCTAGAGGACATTGGTCTCCACCTTTCTTGTCTGGAAATCCCCTTAGAAAGGCTGTGTCCCAATCAGTGTCACAGTTCTCTTCTGTATTCAGCAGTTTCACTTATTTTTCCTGTGATTACTTCTCTGGCTTTGTGGTTTATTTTCCCCTTTTTGCATTCTTTTCAGTTATTTTTTTCTTCAGTTTGCTTCTCATCCCTTACTTGTCCTTATCTATTCCTCTTCCTCCCTACACTCACAGACCTGCTTTCCCTTGCTCCTGCCACTGTTGTGCATCTTCCCTTGCTCCCTCCCCTTCCTCATCATCCTTCTTTTTTGCCTCCTCAAATTCACTTTACTCCTAAAGCCCAAGAGAAAATCAAGCTTCTGGGGAGCACTGGAATGGGAAGGAACTAAACCATGGTGAATTAGCCATGTCAGCAGAGAATGGGAAGCTCTAGGAGCCTTTGAAGGAGAGGCTGCCACAATTCTACCAGCTTCCTACCAGACACTGACCTCTGAGTTGAACTCTTCTGTATGTCTGAATGATGTGTCTCCAAAGAAACATCATAAGTTGTAATCAAGCCACGTTTGAGAAGAAAAACTTACCGAGCGGGGATCCACACCCTCGTGGCATGATGTAAGTGAGAAGGTGACTCTTTCTGGGCAGACAAGTCATGAATGGGATGAGTTGCACTTCTGGGAGGCATTTTATAAAAACTTTCCTGTGTTAAAAGATTCCTCAGAGTTTTTCCAGGGATATGAAGGGCCATGATTCAACTGCTGGCTCTTCTGGCAATCCTACAAATAGAAGTTCTGGTTACTCCAGACAGCCATAAGCAGATGGCCAAGGTGGATGTTTTCTTTCTTACTTTTAAGTAGTTTGTAGGGTAGAATGCTGGGGTTAAAAAAAAAAGTCAGATCTCTTCCAAAGAAGAACGATTTGTGAGGAGTTTTTCTTGTGTGTCCTCCTCAGCCTGGCTGCTGGTGGGGGGCTAATGAGGAGGTCTTTGTTTTCCATGGATCTGCACTGTCTTGTGCTCAACAAATGAAATGTGTGTGCATCCAAAATTCCTCTACTAAGCCTGTGTTGGATGCTTCCTATTTCTCAGGAGAAAAAAGAAAACTAAGTATGAATCTAACCCCCCCAGCCGTGTGGATTCCTGGGCTTTATTGATAAATAATTACACTGATGGAGAAGGTGGGAGGGCTGATTCCAGTGAAGAGGAGTCAAAACTCTGAGCCCTTCAACCTGGGAGAGGTTTTAGATACAGTGTCAGCACCTGGGATTGCACCAGAGACAATGGGAGCAGAGCTGGTCCCTCATGGAGGTACAAGGATGCAAATAGGTCTTGCAGGCTGAGTTCACTCCCTGTAGACTTGGGTGAAGACTTGGGCCAAGTCAGGCTGTGACACTGCTCAGCAGAGCCAGGAGTCACATGTGACAAACCCAAGCCTGCTCTTCAGAGGGGCTTCTGCACTTGCCTGGCTTCCTGATCCTAAACAGTTGGTTGAACAACACCCTTCAGCTACTGGAAATGGCAGCACTGGGTCTTCTGCAAGTGATAGAATGGGTGTGCTTGAATTAAAAAAAATAACTTACTAGTAAGTTAATAGTGACTTTATAGTAACTACACTGTTGCAGGTGAGTCATAAAGTCATCAGGGTTGGAAGGGACCTCTGAAGATCATCTCATCCAGCCTGCCTGCCAGGGCAGGATAACCTGCAGTAGATCCCACAGGAACACCTCCAGACAGGTTTTGAATGTCTCCAGAGAAAGAGACTCCACAACCTCTCTAGGCAGCCTGTTCCACTGCTGTGTTACCTTCACAGGAAAGAAGGGTTTCTTTGTGTTTAACTTGAACCTCCTGAGCTCACATTGTACCCCTTGTCCTGTCATTGGACACTGCAAAAAAGAGAGTGGAGTGAGAGTGGTTACCTTTGTCTGGAGGGAAGGGTTGCTTCCTGCCTTCTGACCAGCACAACTGTGGGCACAGCAGAGCCCACAGTGACCTGCCAGAGCTGGACTCTTGTGTTGGCAAGAGGTGACCTGAACCTGCTGGGTTTGGAGGGAGGGAAAAACATCCCGCTTGGGGCTTGCGTTCTGCTGTGACCTGACGTTGTCCATCTTTGGCAGGTCTATAACCTGACTCAGGAGTTCTTCCAACGAGGTAAACCAGTCAATGCTGAGAGCCAGAACAGTGTGGGCGTCTTCACGCGGGACGTCGTGCGCAAGCGGGTCAAGGCCGATCCGGATGACACAGAGGCCGTCAAGAGGCTGAAACTAGCCATGATCCAGCAGTACCTGAAGGTGGGTGTGCAACTCCTTGGGTTTGTTTTGTTGGCTTTTGTTCCTTTTAACAAAGAGCAGACAAATCTGGAACCTCAGCCAGCTGGCTAAGCCTTGCCCATCGCTGGGGAGTTGCTCCCTGGGGTCTCTTGTAGCTGGGACAGTTTGTGTTTATATTGACAGCTTTTCCTCATGAGGCTTGCAAGAAGTAATGCCTTTATTTCCCCACCCCATTCTTACCTTAAGCATACAGCTTTCTATATAGAAGGGACTTTCCAAGAAGGGACTTTTCCCTTTGAAATTTTCTGGTGTGGTTTAATCCTTTTTTACCACCTTAAGCTCCTCTGTTACCAGCTTCTTTTGGTAATGTCTTGTCTTCTGCCTTCTATCTGAAACCCCATGATCCTGCCCAAGTGTCTTTTACCCCCTTCTGCCTCTGCCCATATCTTAGAGACCAGAAGAAGTATAACTTTGATTCTAGTAATTTGCTGAAGAAATCCCTGGGAAGTACTTTGAAGGTAAAGAAATAAAATCAAAGGTAGGTTGCATAAACCCATGTCCTAATCATCTCTCCCCATGGCTTCCCTAGTTCTTTTTATCTCCTTGATGCCTTGGCCTAAATGAGATCTCTGTGGGATGAGGACTTAATGCTGCATCAAGCACTCCACAAGTAAAGTGTAACAGTCATTCCTGTTTCAATTATGATGACTTAAAGGCTTGTGAAATGAGGCAGGGGAGGCAGCAGCACTCTGTGGTGTGGGGAGGGGTGTGGTATTCACAGGTTACAGCTGGGAAGCTGAAAGAAAGAGAAATGAAGATCTAAAGGGTCTCTCTGGATATGTTTGATAAAGCTGAGATTTGAAACCAGAGAGTGGAGTGAGAGTGGTTACCTTTGTCTGGAGGGAAGGGTTGCTTCCTGCCTTCTGACCAGCACAACTGTGGGCACAGCAGAGCCCACAGTGACCTGCCAGAGCTGGACTCTTGTGTTGGCAAGAGGTGACCTGAACCTGCTGGGTTTGGAGGGAGGGAAAAACATCCCGCTTGGGGCTTGCGTTCTGCTGTGACCTGACGTTGTCCATCTTTGGCAGGTCTATAACCTGACTCAGGAGTTCTTCCAACGAGGTAAACCAGTCAATGCTGAGAGCCAGAACAGTGTGGGCGTCTTCACGCGGGACGTCGTGCGCAAGCGGGTCAAGGCCGATCCGGATGACACAGAGGCCGTCAAGAGGCTGAAACTAGCCATGATCCAGCAGTACCTGAAGGTGGGTGTGCAACTCCTTGGGTTTGTTTTGTTGGCTTTTGTTCCTTTTAACAAAGAGCAGACAAATCTGGAACCTCAGCCAGCTGGCTAAGCCTTGCCCATCGCTGGGGAGTTGCTCCCTGGGGTCTCTTGTAGCTGGGACAGTTTGTGTTTATATTGACAGCTTTTCCTCATGAGGCTTGCAAGAAGTAATGCCTTTATTTCCCCACCCCATTCTTACCTTAAGCATACAGCTTTCTATATAGAAGGGACTTTCCAAGAAGGGACTTTTCCCTTTGAAATTTTCTGGTGTGGTTTAATCCTTTTTTACCACCTTAAGCTCCTCTGTTACCAGCTTCTTTTGGTAATGTCTTGTCTTCTGCCTTCTATCTGAAACCCCATGATCCTGCCCAAGTGTCTTTTACCCCCTTCTGCCTCTGCCCATATCTTAGAGACCAGAAGAAGTATAACTTTGATTCTAGTAATTTGCTGAAGAAATCCCTGGGAAGTACTTTGAAGGTAAAGAAATAAAATCAAAGGTAGGTTGCATAAACCCATGTCCTAATCATCTCTCCCCATGGCTTCCCTAGTTCTTTTTATCTCCTTGATGCCTTGGCCTAAATGAGATCTCTGTGGGATGAGGACTTAATGCTGCATCAAGCACTCCACAAGTAAAGTGTAACAGTCATTCCTGTTTCAATTATGATGACTTAAAGGCTTGTGAAATGAGGCAGGGGAGGCAGCAGCACTCTGTGGTGTGGGGAGGGGTGTGGTATTCACAGGTTACAGCTGGGAAGCTGAAAGAAAGAGAAATGAAGATCTAAAGGGTCTCTCTGGATATGTTTGATAAAGCTGAGATTTGAAACCCCAGTGTTCTGAGCACTGTTCTGGTATCTCAGTGTCCTAACCCAAGAGCTTGTATCACAGGGCATCTCCACTGCTGCTACAGGTTGCCACAGCCAGAGACCTTTCTGCAAGTCTTGCAAATCCCTTCTCATTTGTAAATACCTGAGAAAAACAAAGCTTCTGATACTTAAGGCTATCAGATCAGAGTGGTTGCTGAGAGAGTGGGGATTATCTGGTGTCTCAGGCAAAGCCAAGTCTTGGTAGTTGCCTGCTTTCCTCCCTGGCATTTTTCCTTCATGGTTGAAAGAATCAAATAGACTGCTTGTTATTTTCATGGTGTGGAGTGTCCTGTCTGAGCACCTTGTTCACTTGATACCTTAGCCCAGCACAGACATTCTTCCCCTGCACCAGGATGCTCCACAGGGAGAGGGTCTAGGCTTGCCAGGCTTCCAAACCTGGTCATTAAAGTGTGAAAGGTCTGGAAAATTGGCCAAAGGGTGAGGCAAGGAATTGTACTATTCCCTTTGTCTAAAATGCTCAAAAGAATTGCAGTGTGTGAATCATTGTGACTCTGGTGATTTGAAGATTTTAAGATCACTGTGTCATGCATCAGTATTATCATTAGAAACTTATCACAGGACAGGCCAAACATCCTGCCTTTGTTCCAGGGATTGTTGGAAGCTAAGCCTAATACTCCTGCAAACATTAACCAACAGGTCCCAAATCTGAAGCTTTGAGAACCACATCAAGTGAATAAAACACAAGTGCCTCACATCTTGGCATTGCCTTTTTCTGTCTCCTTCAGTTCCTTCTGTGCTGGATCCTCTCAGATGGTTGGCTTGCTGATTGCTGACTGTTTGACAGCATGTTGAAAGCTGCAGACTGCAGAAATAGCTGCCAAAAGTTTGCCAGGGCTCCTCATGGGAGCATTTACTAACATTGGAATGAGCATCTGATTAACATAGCTCCAGCTTCTCTTGTAGGAGCACCAAGCAGCCAGTCCCTGGCCAGTGGAGCGTGTTTTAAATGGTAGAAAGCAGTCAGAACCCAGAATCTTGCAGGTACAAAGATGTCACCTCTGAACTTTTGCTGGTGCAACTGTGGCCCCTGCAGCCAGGGCTGGTGCAGCTTGTTACCATGACAGAATGGTTTCTCTGGTTGGAAGGAAGGCTAAGGTTTGATTTTGTCAGATCCTATGGCCAGACTCTTCTTTAATAGCAAAAATAATGTTGTTTTGAGAGTGGGATTCAGGACTCCCAGCCTGTTCCTCTGTGCCCTTGCAATGTTGTGCTGTGGCAAAGTGAGTTGCTCTGAGGCAATGTTGCTTTTGTGTTGCTTTTCCTCAGGTGGAGAGTTGTGAGAGCAGCTCCCACAGCATGGATGAAGTCTCACTCAGTGAATTTGGGGAATGGACCGAAATCCCTGGGGCTCATCACATCATTCCTTGTGGTTTCATTAAAATCGTGGAGATCTTGGCCCGCTCCATTCCCGAGTCTGTCATTCAGCTCCGCAAGCCGGTCAAGTGCATCCACTGGAACCAGTCGGTCAGCAAGGAGATTGAGAGGGTGGCTGACCACAACAGTGACCTCCCCGAGGAGGACAAGAGCTCTGATGTCTTCGTAGAGTGCGAGGACTGCGAGTTCATCCCAGCTGACCACGTCATTGTGACCGTGTCCCTGGGAGTCTTGAAGAAACGCCACGAGAGCCTGTTTCATCCCCGCTTGCCTGAGGAGAAGGTGATGGCCATTGAGAAACTGGGAATCAACACCACTGACAAGATTTTCCTGGAGTTTGAAGAACCTTTCTGGAGCTCTGAATGCAACAGCATCCAGTTTGTCTGGGAAGACGAGGCAGAGAGTGAGAGCTTGACTTACCCTGAGGAGCTGTGGTACAAGAAGATCTGCGGCTTTGACGTACTCTACCCACCAGAGAGGTATGGCCATGTCCTGAGTGGCTGGATATGTGGAGAAGAGGCTTTGATCATGGAGAAGTGCGATGATGAAACTGTGGCAGAAACCTGCACTGAAATGCTACGTAAATTCACAGGTCAGCCATGCTCTGGTTCCTTTGGAGAGTGGAGAACAGAGGGAGGCTGGGGCTGGGGTGTTGAATAACCACCAGGAAGGAAATGCACTGAAGTAATTTTTAGTTCTTTGGCATTTTAAATCCCTTTGAATGGGCTGTGCCTGTGCTTCCAGCATACCTCCTGCTTGGGTGTGCCTGAAAGCTATTTATACAGAGGGGCTGATAACCAGCTCAGGAAGTGGTGGGTAGAAGTGCTTGAGAATTTCACATCCTCTGCTTTATTTAATCACAAATAACTCTTCAGCAGCTGGAGCTGTCAGACCTGGGGCTTCTGAGGACTGATTTCAGCTGTGGAAAGCAGCAGTGCTCTTTTAGAATGGAGTTGAACCTGTTCAGAGCTGAGATGTGGCGCTTGAATCACATCCCTGCCCTCCATTCAATGTGAGGCTGTGTGGAAATCCCACTGGCCTGAATTTTCAAGTATCCATGATCTTGAGAGGTTCCATTTCACCAAAACCTTCCTGAGCTTAACAGATTTCATGTGTACTGAGAACACATCACGATAAAGGCAGCAGCTGGAGCAAGACAGACCTTAGGTCTGTTAGACAGACAAAATCCAGGATGAAATATCTAATAGTAATACTTGAACACACTGGGCCTTAGTTTGTCTGCAGTCGCTTCCCATGGGGTTGCAGACCTTCCCAGGGAAAGGGCTTCTTGTGCCTACAGTGTTAATTGAGGTTCTCTGATGGAGGACACTGTACAAGTGCAAGTATCAGGTAGAAGCACTGAAAGAAATACTGGTTGACTCGTTGCACTCTTGAAATGAGGATTTTGGATTTATAATTATGAGCAATTGCAGAATCACAGAGTCATCGTGGTTGGAAGGGACCTTGAAGATCATCAAGTCCAACCATAACCTAAATCCCCCTACCATAATCTAATCTTCCCGTTCAGTGCTTAAATCATGTCTCTAAACACGATATCTGCACTTATTTTAAATACTTCCAGGGATGGTGACTCCACCACCTCCCTTATAAGAGCAGCATCCTCCAAGTTTAGATGTATTCTATTCCAGAGAGGGGTCCCAAGACTAAGCTATTTATATCTCTCTGCTAGCTCACGTTATCCAAGCCTCAGCACCCAGTGGGTTTCCAGCCTTACCTCTTGTCCATGGACCTCTAATTAACTGAAGAAATTTGCCTTCACAAGTGTAGCTTTCCCCTGTGCTCACAGAGCATTTGCTACCAACACCACAGAGATGTAGAGAAAGGGTCCTAGAAGCTGAGGACTATCTGAGCAACTGGTTACTGCCAAAAAAAAAGGTTTTATGTTTTCCTGCTCTTTTCAGAAATGGTAGGGTAGACAGTGGGTTCAGAAATGCTAATGCAGCAACCAACACTGGATCCTGTTTCAGTGTGTTTGGTGTTGCATTTATGCTGGATGATGAGCCTGTGGCTCCCTTGCAGCCTGCAGGGATGGAGGGTGGATCAGGGAATGTTTCTGCCTCCTGAGCTGTTTATTCTCAGTGGTGTTGGGTTTCCCTACCTTACCTTGCAACGTTGGTGCCTACAAGCCTTCTTTCCTCCTGACCTCAGCAGGCCAAGTGCTGCCCTAGGCAAGTGGAGCAGGAGGCTCTTCTCTTTAAGTGCTGACATCTCCCTTTTATTTTTCCCTAAAACACCTTGATTCATCAGTGGGAAATTGGCTCTTGGGGTCCTTCTTAGTTTGGCAGACGGGAGTGTACTCTCCCTCTTCCTTCTCGGGCTCCTGCCCTGTTGTTATTGTTTGCCTGTGTTAGATGTTCCTCTTTTCCTCCCAGGATGGAAAAATGCTGGCACTGGTCATTGCTATGTGCTGCAGTTGCTGTTCCAGCTGGTTCTGCACCTGGTCACTGTCCATCAGACTCTGTCTCAGCCTTCTGCTAATCCTGGGCTGTCTAACCCTGCAGAGTTTCAGACTGAATCTACCAGGGCCTTGCCATGCAATCAACACTTTGTGCATCAGCTGAGAGGTCACCTCTCAGCTGCTGGAAACTACTAGAAGAAAACGTGTCCTTGGAGCACCCATTACACAAGACCTGATCCACTTTCTGCCCAAAAACCCCTGCTATTTTGTAAGAAACCTTTTTCACAGGTCTCCCAGGATGGCCTTGCTGAGTTAGCTGGGTTTGTCCTGTTACCCTTGCTCCTGTTTTCCCTAGCAAGTTCACAGAAGCAGCAGTTCCTCAGGGCTCATCTGGGCCAGGTGCCAGGCAGGCTGGAGTAGCAGGAGCATGCTCAGCTCTCCATGCACTTCCCATCTTCTTCACTAATACATTTCATCAGGAGTGGGACAGTGGGTTAGACCAGCTAAGGAGGTGGTTGAGGGGGGTGTTACAAAGCAACCTTCTGTCTGTGATCCAGCTCTAGTCATTTCTGAAAATGACTGCTCTCCTCTGGTCCAATTAGACCACCAAACCCAGCCCCTAAAGTGTTTCCCACCACCCAACTTCATGTAAGTCAGCTAACTGAGCTGGGAAACTAGTCCTCCTAAGCTCAGTGGGAAGAAAGACTCTTTGATAAGGCAGTTCACATCTTCCACACCTTGCTTGGTGCTCTGTGACATCTTCTTCAGAAGCTTTTCCCTGCTGAGTACAGAGAGAGCCTCACATTCAGCAGTGAAAGCAGGTAGTAGGAGCCTTTAATGTTCACTTTGTCTTTCATGTTCAGGCTATAAAATCCCCCATGTTCTTATTTCTTACTCTCCTATTAAAGAATTAATGTATTAACTAGGAGGGTTCCAATCTTCAGCTGTGTTTTCCCAGTCCTTTGCTCAGGGAGGCCTTTGCTTTGGCTTCAGGGGATTTTAGACCAGTCCTGTATTAAATGCATTCTTCTAGACTCATACTGAGAATTTCTCTCTGAGAGGTGACCTTACATTTCACATGCAGGTTAGTCTGGTGGATTATCTGGCTTTGCTGTGAAAAGCTCAGAGGATTGTTCTAACCTGAGAACCTCTGACAATTGCTGCTTTTCACAGCTGGATGGCTGAAAAGCAGGATCCTCTAAATCTGATTAAGTGAGATGCCTTCAAACAATTAGAAGTCTTGCTCTGTTTTCTTTGTTGGCTAAGCTCCCAGCATTAGAAACCAGAAGGTGGTAATTGCAGCCCTGGTCCCTTCTGAAGGACTCACTGATTTGTCAGGCTGCTGCTGGAGATGCCCTGAGTTGTCCTCCCTGTCCTCCAGCTTTTTCTCTAGAGGGAAAGGACTCTCTTTTAGGTTCTGCATCCTGTCTGCTAGCCATGTGCAGATGCTTGGGAGACCTTAATGTCACTTTTGTGTCTGGAGAATCTGTCTGTGAGGAAAGGCTGGGAGAGCTGGGGCTGTTCAGCTGAGAGAGAAGGAGGCTGAGGGGGGATCTCATCAGTGCTGATCAATATCTACAGGGGGTGTCAGGAGGATGGGCCAGACTCTTCCCAGTGGTGTCCTGGGACAGGACAAGGGGCAGTGGGCACAAACTGGAGCACAGGAGGTTTAACCTGAATATGAGAAATTACTTACTTACTCTGAGGGTAACAGAGCCCTGGAACAGGCTGCCCAGGGAGGTTGTGGAGTCTCCATCCCTGGAGACATTCCAGACCCACCTGGATGTGTTCCTGTGTGACCTGCCCTAGGGGATCCTACTCTAGCAGGGGGTTGGACTAGATGATCTCCAGAGGTGCCTTCCAGTCTCCCTCCCCCATTCTATGATCCTGTAATTCAGTGCCTATAGACTTGTGTGAGTAGTACCACTGATCTCTGTTGGCCTTGATGATGTCTTAAACACCCTGCTGTCAGGTAGACAAATAAATGTGGATGTCTTAATTGAGATCTGTGAGTTGATTTTGTGGTAACCCTGTGTCTCATAATCAGCCCCATAACTGGTAACTCTCTGTAGCTACACCTCCCAGTAGCTGGATAAAGACAGGATTGTCTGAAGCACTTGGAGTTATCTTCTGTAACTTCACAAGTGGGAACCTGTAGCATAAAGGTATGTGCCTTCCTGTTTTAGTGAAGGCTAAAGTCCCTTTTTAGTCATTTTATCTGTCTGTGGACAGTGGAAGCTTAGAAGTTTCCACATCTGCAGTAATTGTTACCTTTATCTGTAGGTAAAGGCACATGTTGAACCATCTGTTTAAAGGCAGATGTAGAAAGTCCAATTAAATATGTTCCTTGGACATGTGTGGGCTTCCCAGTCTTTATAGTTTCTGTCTTGCAGACAAAAATTCAGGGTCAGAGCTTGTGTTACGTGTTCCCATTTGACCTTCAACCAAGCTGCTCCTGATTTTTCTCTTAGAGACAGCTTCTCACACTGGAAGGTGCATAAATGCAGACGTGCAGGGGCACAGTAGTTGTGCAGTGGACACTTGGATCATGTTCACATGGTCTGATGTGCTGGAGAATCTTCAAGGAGCTCGTAAGAGCTGGCACATCTGCTTCTGGGGAGGGACACTGGCTTTGGTCCTCGGAGCTGTGCAGCTGCTATGTAATGTACTCAGGCCCTGCTCTGTGCTGGCAGCCTTCTGGGGCATCTCTGCAGGAGCTCTGCCATCTGCCCAGGGCCACCTGCTTCATGTTGCTGTGCTGCAGCTTCCCTTGGGATGAAGTTGCTACGTGAAGAATAGTTGCCTGGTGGGAAGGCTGCTGCTTACCTGCTTCTATACATAGGACAAGGTCATCCATGGGAAGCACTAGAGAGAATCCCAGACTAGTTTGGGGTGGCAGGGACCTTTCAAGATCATCTAGTTCCAACCCCCCTGCATGGGCAGGGACACCTCCCACTAGACCAGGTTGTTCAGAGAGAGTGTGAAGCTGTTCCTTTTACCAGTCTGAGTGTTGCTTTATTCAATCTTGCTGGATTTATACAATTGTTGATGGAGCTGATGGCTCCACAAACTGTTCTGGTAATAAATTTCAGTCTTTTAGCAGATTGGTGGCCTTACCTGCAGACTGACAAGCCCTCACCTCCTTGCTTGTAACACTGTGTGCCCCATGTTAACCATCTTAGCAACATCCTACTGGTGGACTCCTGTGTTGAAAATCTTCTGAGTCCCTTGACAGGGGAACAGGAGAACATGCACCAGCTACAGAACACCCACCCCCAGCCCACTGCAGAGACTCCTGTTACTTGAAAATACATTGTGAGGTTGTTTTTGTGTAGTGCAGTGTGATGGACGACTGCTTTGGCCCTGTTGGGTGTTGTCTAACAGCTTCCATGGTGTGTTCTCCTGGGTTTTCCCACAGCCCTTAAAAATAAAACGTGATCATTTATTTCCTTGACGCATCTGAGAGCTCCCTGAGCTCAGGCTCCCTTGGGCTTTTCACTTCCATCCCAGGCGTTCCTGCTTTGAAGATTCTTGTAGGAGACTATTTTAGAGGCTTTGTTATGCTAAGTTCTTATTCCTGAAACAACATTCAGCTGTAGGATGTGTTTTGTTTGCTGGGTATATTTATTTGCTAGTCCGTGCCATATTTTTGTCTGAGGGTTAGTG